GCGCTGTTCGTTACTTCCGTTGGTCATCACCTCTATACTCGTCGAAATATTTACCTAAGAGGGTGCAACCTGTGTATATCTAGAATAGAATCAAGTAAACATCAACACAGTAGTTAGCCAACTGACGAATTGACGCTGTTCGTTACCTTCGTTGGTCATTAATCTAAATAAAATATATCTGATAGCAAATAAACGTGGTCTGCGTTTGAACGGGACCCAAGTGAGATCTCAGTAAACAGTACCAATTGTAATATACTTTGCTAATTATTGTATCACATTTAAAGTATTAAAAATAAAAGAGTTTAAATATAAATTGGCCATTTTGCACCAAATTTTGCATTGAATCCTAGTTTATCTTAATTAACATTATCACAACATGGGTATATACTTTATCAATTAATTAACTAGACGATCACTTCTACTACTAGAGGAAAAAAGGCCAAATACAGTAAGTATAGAATTTAAAGCAAAATAAAATTAAGAGGTAATTAAAAAGATTTCAGAGAATATAATAACGATCAAATATGGGGTGGGCCGTTACAGCCTGTGATAATTGATCTAAGAACAAATTAATCAAATAGGTAGGTATCTTCTTTAATTCAATTTTACGATGTACACTACTATTTAAATCACTTGAAACAATATCTGGTAATATCTAGAATTAGAATTACTTTGCTCTTTTCTTCTCATGCATTTCAGAAGACCCAATTATTGCAATGTGGCCGATTCAACTACTGAAATAATTGGTTCGTTGAATTCGCGGCATATACCTAAACGATAATAACTCAATATTTCAAAAACTTGAGGGTTAAAAGTTCTCTACCTGGCATTTAAGAAAGTTGATCAATCTGATGCGCCATTAATATTTAGAGGTGTAGCTGCATCACGCCTTTTACATTAGCGTTAATAATCACCTAAACTGACGGATAGATAAATTGCTAAATGAATATCTACGAATTCTTCAATTTCTCTCGGAATATTAGAAGTTTGATTTAATTGACAGGCGCGATCTGATGAAAACCGAGTAGGTACCTATTTCGATTTCGAATGAGATAATTAAATAATGTTGTTGGCAAATTTAATTAGCTTAATGTTGCAGTTGCACATAATTCAATTTGAGATGCACCGGCATCTAATGTTGTCGCAATAATTTCTTGATCAATACAATAAAAAGCGGTAAATTAATTATTGCGTACGATGGGAATGTTGCTTTAATGTTTGTTATATAATAGTTTTGCATTTCTGTTAAATAGGCGCATTGTGTTCTTAATCATATGGGATTTTTTATTATTATTATTTAGTTTATGAAAATTTAGAGTTCGTGAACAGTTTTTGCTTCGAAAATTAAAAAAAAAATTACGTTAAATTTGACATATTTTCAAAAAAATTTGATTATTTCTCAAAATTTCGATTGGTGTAGTATTTGGCAGACAGATTTTTAAAATTCAGATTTTTTGTTTCTTTAAAATTATAATATTTCTAGTAAACCATGGACTTTTTTGATTCAAGACGTAAGTATATCATTTAAATATATAAAATCACAATGCCAGCTTATACAAATTGTTTATTTTAATTTATGATTGCTTGGAAAGAATGGTAATATCTTGGTAAAACAAATATTTAAATATTTAAAATTACAGGGTGTCTATAAAAGGTCTTTACAAAAACATACCACATATTCCTTAGACCAAAATATGTCGATTTAAGTAAAATTACCTTAGTACAAAGTTGCTTCGTTTGGGCTCCAGAGGGCCTTGAAGTTACAATTTTTAAATCGTTTTTCGCATATAAATTTAAAACGGCATATGCGATTTTGCTGAAATTTGGTATATTGGTAGAGTTTTATGTGGCAAAAAAAATGGTATTAAAATTTTGTCCGATAATAATACATAGGCGTAGAACTTGATTATTTAAATAATTGCACCTTTAAAAATTCTACGCCAATGGAAGAAAAGGAGTTTGAGTATGAAATTTAGATTGCGCAACTCATTTACTTTAAAAAAGGTACTCTTGATAAGACATGATTACTGTCATGGTTTTGACGAAATTTGCATTTTAGTAATTTTAGAACATAAACAATAATTATTAAAATACAAACTTTGTCAAAACCATGAGAGTAAATCGAGTGTTATCAAGGGTACTTTTTTGTAGTAAATGAGTACCCAATCCAAATTTCATACTCAAACCCTTTTTCTGCCATTGGCGTAGAATGTGCAATTATTTAAAAAATCAAGTTCTACGCCTATGTATTATCTGACAAAACTTTATACGATGAAAAACATAAAAATGTACTTTTTTCATATCTTCTTCAACACCTCTAATCGAGACTTTTAACAAAAATACTCGATTCTTGCCATGTACGATTTTTTGAGGAATATTAATTATTTGCCTGCAATACGTATACAAAAACATTTATTGTTGGTTTCCATAGTTTCATCTAAATAAAAATATTGTCAAGTTTTAACACCTAATCTCTTGTTAACGATTGAAAGTGTTCTATCTGACTCAATAATTAAAAAAACAAATGCGTGGTTTATTAATATGGCTGTACAATATACCAATGCAGAATATACCAATATGTTACTGACATTAGGATTTTGTGAAGGAAATGCTCGAGAGAGTGTCAGGGTGTACTCTGAAAGGTTTTCAAATCGTCGTGTACCTAGGCACCCAACTTTTGCTGCTGTTGAGAGACGTCTTCGGGAGACCGGTTCCTTTGCTCCCAACACTGTTGATAATGGAAGAGAACGTTTTGTAAGGATTCCTGAAGTTGAAGAAGACATTTTAGAACGTCTTAAAGAAGATTCAGAATTAAGCACCAGACGAATTGGAAGGGAACTAGGAGTAAGTAAAGATGTCGTTCATAAAGTGCTTAGAGAACATTTGCTATATCCATACCATAAGAAGCCAGTACAAGAATTATTAGTCCATGATCCTCAAATTCGTTTGGGTTTTTGTCGATTTGTTAATATTCAAAGAGAAAGAGATCCAAACTTTGTCAAGAAGGTTCTCTTTACCGATGAAGCAGGTTTTACAAGAAGAGGTATAACTAATACCCATAATGAACATGTTTATGCCGTTGAAAATCCGCATGCAATAAAGGTAAACCATTTTCAGAACGAATTCAAAATTAATGTGTGGGCTGGAATAATTGGTAATTTCATTGTTGGTCCTGTCATACTTCCACGAAGATTAACTGGAGAAAATTATTTGGATTTTCTACAAAATACGTTGCCAGAATTGTTAGAAGATTTACCTCTCCAACTTCGGAGAGATATGTGGTTAGACACACTTGAATGAACAATATCCACACAAATGGATAGGCAGAGGTAATGACGCACCTGTAAACTGGCCACCATGTTCTCCAGACCTAACACCGATGGATTACTTTTTATGGGGACATCTGAAATCCACAGTTTACAGGGAACCTAAAGAAAATGAGGAACAACTCTGGCAACGTATTCAAGATGCAATAAACAACCTTAGAGGTGATGAAGAAGTTATGGAAAGGATACATTTTAATTTTCTTCGACGTATAAATCTTTGTATGCGTGAAAATGGTAAACATTTTGAACAATTTTTGTAAAATCTCTATTTTGATTATGTTGTAAATAAATATTTTTGTGAAACCTATACACTCTAAATTATTAAAACAGAAATTTAGCGAAAACCATGAGAGTAATCAAGTCTTATCAAGAGTGCCTTTTTTAAAGTAAATGAGTTGCGCAATCTAAATTTCATACTCAAACTCCTTTTCTTCCATTGGCGTAGAATTTTTAAAGGTGCAATTATTTAAAAAATCAAGTTCTACGCCTATGTATTATTATCGGACAAAATTTTAGAACCATTTTTTTTGCCATATAAAAGTCTACCAATATACCAAATTTCAGCAAAATCGCATATGCCGTTTTAAATTTATATGCGAAAAACGATTTAAAAATTGTAACTTCAAAGCCCTCTAGAGCAACTTTGTACAAAGGTAATTTTACTTAAATCGACTTATTTTGGTCTAAGGAATATGTGGTATGTTTTTGTAAAGACCTTTTACAGACACCCTGTATAACCTATAGTCAGGGTCTTGGAGAAATCAAGTAAATTCCTATCAGTTTTCCTTGATCTGGCAATGACTTTCGATACGGTTCCTCACTCTGATCTCTTAATCAGTGGTATTAGAAGTTGGAGGTACAGTCCTTGATTTGTTTAGAAATTATTTAAAAAATAGAACCCAAAAATAAAAATAGAGAACTAATTGAGTTTCGATTCAAGAGTACAAAAATATGATTACCTCAGAGCATAATATTAGGTCCAGTGCTATTTTTAATTTATATAGGTTAGCGAAAAAGTCTGGCTACGATAATTCAACTGAAAAAGAAGTAGAATCTACATCAGAATACATTTTATCTACTCTTTATGGGGCAAAGCTAAATAAAACCTTAAGCAACTGACGCTTCAAACATTTCTGCAAACTATCGAAAAGTGCAATTTTTTTTTCTCTTGTCACCAAACACCATAGTTTAAGAACATATATTTCCAAATGCAGCAGTGGAACGGTAATTATTTAAACACTCTCGACTGGGGTTGGAAAAAATAAAAAAATTGATTGGTTGCGATTTGCAAAAATGAATTAACTGTGTCAGAGTTTTTGCTCAAGAAAGTTGCTTGTGGATTTATCACAGGTTGACACGGAAGCTGTGGTTGTGGAAGTTAGGAATAACTTGTTATATTTATAGTTTGCAAACAATGGGTCTCAATTGCGAAAATGTACGAGAGACAGAAATTACAGGAGACGATGTTCTTGAAGACATATACAAGGAAATCGGCATGCCGCGGAGAATTTCAGTGTCACAGAGTCACATTGAAAAATAGACATTCGAATATAAGTATGAAATATAAATAGTGATTAAGTATAAACAAATTAAGTAGTATTTAGTGTAAATAAATTATAAATAATAAACTGGTCTAAATAAATAAACGCTACACTATTAAATACTTTTTTTTACCTTTTTTAGCTACTGACGTCCATGTTACTGCTAAGATGAGTCCAAAGATTAGTTGCCAACGAACAATCATCATAAAATCATCTGAAACGAAAAAAAAAATAAATTAATTAATTCATAAAAATTCATAATATATCGGTTAGGTATGTCGAAATTATGATACATAGAAATATTTATCAAAGAGTATCTCATCTGATTGCAAAGTAGCACGTCATATTTTTTGCTTGCAATTTGTAGTTAGGTACACGGGAAGGGGAGTATACAACATGTACTATATCCCGATGGTGGAAGATGTTGTGTAACCTGTCAAATATTAACGTTTTTTTTCAACAAAATTCGAGATATAGCTTTAATCGCGATTTTTCTGTACTTAAGACGCATTTTTCTTCATTAAAGCCTCAGAATGGGTCACTGTTTCTGCCTATAGATGTTATATGTAAATAAATAACTATTATGACGATTATGATCAACTAAAATGTATAATTACATTATAATTTAAAAATACGTTCGAGCCATGCTCTAAGGGGTCATCCATAAATTACGTCACACTCTAAGAGGGGGAGGGGGTCGACATATTGTGACAGTGTAAGACAAGGGGTGGAAGGGGTCTTACATTTCGTGACGTCACATTTGTAAAAATAATACCGACTTAGAATCAGCTCTAAAACTTCGAGATACTGTTGGTCGGCGTAGGGTAGAAGAAAACCAATCCGGTATACTTAGTCATATACTTAGGATATTGCAGTTATTGGTGGCGCAGCGCAGCTGATCAACGACGTCGCACTGAAACTTTAAGGTGCTGAAAAACATTGGACGATTTACAAGCTGAACTTTGTAAATAGAAATATAGTATCAGTCGATCAGGGTTATACTTCAGACTTCTTCCCAGACGAGTCAATACAGAGGAAGGAAATAGACACGTCGTAACTGTTCCTGTTAAACTATGCAAACCAGATTCTACGCTACATTTGAAACATTAAGATGGCAATTTTGGGCCCTGATCAAGTTTTCTTTTTATCAATGGATGACAAAGCACGCGTGCCTTTAGGTATTACAGCACCAATATTAATGCACCTTGATTATCGTGTAAAATTACTGGATCATGATTTCGTGGTCGCGGAAAAACAAATTTATTCATTCTGTTTATGCAGGTATTGTAATAAAGAAGATGGTGACGGGAAACTTGAAGCTGTGACACACTCTGTGCCTACATACGTAGCAATTCATAGTGGAAAGCATGCTTTCTTTAATGCAGAGACTCATGCCACAGACATACATAGACTTTCTGAAACACCTGCTTTTAAAAACTTTATGAGAACTCGAGAAGGTTTTGTAATACCTGTATTTATTTTTATGGTGGTTCCGATGAAAATCCACGATACGAGCGGGTTATAGTTTCAGATATATATTTTAAAAATTTTGACTTCGACGCTATATACATTGCCACAAATGCTTCAGGAAGAAATGCTTTCAACAGAGTGGAACGACGATTGGCGCCTCTTAGACTGGTGTTCTATTAAAACATAACAATAAAATTTTGGTTTACATCTCGATTCCAGTAATCGAACTACTGACTTGGAGTTAGAAAAACGAAACTTTAAGAGTATAGGCATTGTTCCAGTGTCGAGACATACTTGTCTCCTCCGAAATTCAAACCCCATTGATACGCATACGGGCACTGCCGGTCGAAATTCTAGATTGTTCAAAAATGCGTATTCTATGTAATAGTGGTGCCGCCAATTCTTTCGAAATATGACTAGAACACTCTAGAATGGCCCCATTTGTATATAAATAAGACTGTTTGCCATTTGAATTGAGTTCAAGATTAATATATTGTCCATATAAATTAGTAAATAAGCAAATGTGATATACAGTGTGTTCCATAAAGTTGGATCCATATGGGAATTTTTTTAAATATTACGATTGAAGAAAATCGTCGTAGGACATTCACCTCTGCTTTTTCAGAAACTTAAAATAGCCCACATATTAAAGTTGGCTAGGTACTGCATTAGTTTTCTGTCAAATTCGGTATTTTTTCAAAAATCGTTTAAAATTTTATTTTAAATGCAAATAGAAAACTAATGTCAACTAAGGCTAAGACGTTTTTCCAATCGTAATATTAAAAAAAAATCCCATTTGTAAATAAATAAACGTTACAATATTCTTAATAAATGAATTACTATTTCAAACTATCGTTCTGAACATAAAATAATTCGATCATTTACACTTGAAAAATATGTACAAATGAAGATGTCTGTTATATTAGATTAAAGTAAACAAATAATTGTTATTAAAATTGAAGTGATCTTACCAACTTTCTAAAATTAACAACTGTTGTACGATTTCTAAAAAAATAAACCGTTGTCCATGATGTTTTATAATTGTGCAATTATAACAGAAGCCAATATGTTTGGAGTTGTTTATTAGATTCAAACAAAACAAAACATTTTTAATTAATCTTTAAAGTGTATGTGTATAAGAGGGGGTTAGCATGGAATTGAATTTGTTGTCCATAGACTTTTTGTATTTATTTAGAGTTTGAGACTCTTAATTAAGTAACAACATTTTTTTTATAAAATTATTACGGTATTTTTAAACTGTTTATAGGCTAAAATTAATAAACCATGATACCACAAATTGCTTAAAAGGTAATCCGTTATTGTTTCGCCATTTCATAGTTCTCAACGCAAATCAGTAGTATGATTTTATGCACAGGAAATAAATATAGCGAAAATAATTGCTTGTATATTCAGTAAAAATGTTATTCAAATACCATGTCAATGACGAAAAAAAAAAGGTTAATAATACACACAACGATTTCCTAATTATTTCCTTTATTGCTCGATCAAAATATCAAAAAACTGTATCTAGCAATTAAGAAAAAAAAAATGATTCATTTAAGAAGTAGCTATAAAAATTTGTCAAAAGTCATTGTCGTATTTTATTTGATTTATCCTTAGGCTTTTATACCATGTGGATTTATTATCCTGTCATACGGGGGGTGATAATTTAAAAAAACCTACAACAGAAAATGTTTATAACCTTTCTAGGATACAAAATGATTTAATACAGGGTGTACCAATAAAAACTCCCAGGCCAGATATTTTGGTAAGTAATAGAGATATTTTAATTCTGTGAAAACCAGTTCATAGAGCGCTAAGATAACTTTTTTAGATATAAATTAATTTTAAATAGGTCAATATGTAGATGGCGCCGCGCTCAATATTTTTTTTAATAGCATTTTCTTAAAATCCAATGATTAATGCTAAAAAACAATATGAAACTGTTCTGAGTGACCCACTCTGTATATCAGAAATGCCTAGATTTGTCGAATTAGTTCATAAATCAAAATCTGCTTAAAAATGCATTTTTTACAAGATGCGCTACATAAGAAAGATCCTCCCATCGAAAAAAAAATTATTGAGCGCAGCGCCATCTACATATTGACCTATTTAAAATTAATTTATATCTAAAACTAAAGTTCTCTTAGTGCTCTGTGAACTGGCTTTTGCAGAATTAAAATATCACTATTACCAAAATATCCGGCCTGGGAGTTTTTATTGGTACACCCTGTATAGAATTCACCCTACCAACCTACCAACAAAATAAATTGTTTTTATTATATGTTACTTTCTATCTTTAGTTTTTAAATTATTAACCCATATATTTTATGCTTCATCAAGTTAAATAAAATCATTAAAAAAAAATTGGACACGATTTTTTATATTATAACTTTTTTGACTTATTTCTTTTTTATTTCGAATTTGCTTAGAAATATATTTGATAGTTTTCCCGTAATTTTCGAAATTAATAAAAATAATATAACACTCTCCCCATAAATAATTTTCTCCCTTAAGAGTGAACCCCTTGAAACAAAGCTTGTACAGAGAAGGTAAGGGCTATTATTATTTGAAATAGAGAATGGTGAAAGAAAAAATGATTTTAGTAAGAGTTTTATCTAATTTCATAATAGGGCTCGTTTCAGAAATTAATATTTACATCAAAAAGAAAAAGGACCCAAACATTATTTTTACATGGGTAAGCTTAAGGGGTAATGATCCCAAATATGTTTAAACAGGGCTTAAGGGGAAAAGGCTCAGATATTTTAACATGGACAGATGTACGGGGTAAAAGGACCAAACTTGGACAATTTTAAAAATAGAAATATTTTTAGATTGATAAGCTCAAGAGGTAAAGTGTCAAAATATTTAAAATATTTTAAATTACCCAAATATATTTACGTGTAGGTACAGGATAAGTGATAAAGGTACTAAATATTTTTTCTACACCCACATGGATATTAGCTTATCTACGCACAGATTACAAACCGAAAAAGTATGCTATTGCCTTCAACTGAACGAATATATTTCATATCCATTCTAGGTAGTGAGAACACAACAAAAAAATTAAATCCACCAATCAGCGTTCATATTTTGATCAACCGATTGCTAATATTTTTAAAATTTTAAATAAGTGACAATTCTGTCAATCTAATTGTCAGAATACTTTATAGTTATTGAGATTAAACATACATTAAAATGGGTTATTCTTGTGTAGAATCGATAAATAATAGCATTTCTGTTTCTATTTCGTCTATAATTATAAATAATTTGTTAATTTAAATGTAACTATGTAAAGTCAATTTAATTACGAGTATTAAAGCAACAAAAATAAAAGAATAGGTGGTCCTGTAGTCAGCATTCTTGCCTTCCACAAGGAAGACTCGAGTTCGATTCTCGGATGGGAGAAAATGAAATGAACATTTTTTTTTTTTTTTTTTATTTATTTTATTTTAAAAAATATTAAAAGTCATAAATTATTTTAAAATTAGGTATTTTGTCTTAATAACCTAAAAAATATTTTATAAATGTAAATTTTTGTTAGTGGGTCGTAGAAAAAATATACTATACAACTAGAGTGGATTTTCCACATCGCACTCAGACGATTGAGCACTTCGCCTACGGCGTCGTGCTCAAATTTCGTCTTCGTGCGATATGGCCATCATATCCACTCTGGTTACACAAACTACTATTTACATGTGCAGTGGTGTAGCGTGAGCCAAAGAGCGGAGAGGGCGAAGCTTT